AGATGGCCCGGGTCCCTGCCTCCGAGTTTTCATGGCCCTGTGTAGCCCTTGAGACCTCTGTGTGGCCGGGCGAGTGGTGCACACCTGTAATCCCAGAACTCTGGGAAGCTGAGGCAGGAGGATAGAAAGTTCAAGCCTGGCTTGGGCGACTTGGCGACTTAATGAGATCCTGTCTCAAAATAAAAATAAAGAAGAGCTAAGGATACAGCCCAGTGTGGAGTCCCTGGGATTGGTCCCTAGTACTTTCTCCCACCAAAGAAAAACAAAACAAACAAAAGCCCTCCACAAAACAGCCCCCACCCCCCAAAAAACCTGCACAAGATCCGTGAGGCTAAGAGCCTTCAAGGAATTGAATTCTGCCAAGAACCACTGATCTGGGAAGCAGCTCTGTTCCGGTGGAAACCCTCAGGTGATACCAGCCTTGGCTGCCACCCAAACTCCTGCTGAGCCAGGGTCCCACTGAGCTCCAGACCCCGGAGATCAGGAGGCGATGTGTGCAGCAGGACACTGCAGAGACCACGCGTCACCCGGGATGCAATGGTCACCGGCGAATACCTATCCCGGGGAACCCTAGCTTCCTCGGGATCTGGGGTCTCGGGAGCAACTTTTGCTCAGAGGCTCAAGGTTCCAGGGCAAGGGTCTCAGAGGGCAAGGCGGTGGTCATGTGTGCTCCCAGTAGACGAGAAAGTAGCTTTTGTGGTCTTTGTAGGTCAAAGCCAGACTACAACCCTCACCAGCCTCAAAAGGAGGGGGCGCAGGCCCTCACGGTAGGAAGAGTTTCAAGGTCAAGCTTTGGAAAAGCGCAGGAGATCTTGGGGTGTACTGTCTGCCCTGTCGCAGCCCCCTTGGCCACCGCGGCCCACACACTCCCCACGAATGCCTGTCCCCCAAAGTGTGGGAGCCTCACGTAGCCTAGCAAACCAGCTCCAGAGCACAGGGGCCTCCTGGGGCGGAGGAATCAGTGGGGCCCCGGGGGTGCCGGGTGTTTCTTATCCATGGCCTTCCCTGTGAGTCACCCTTCCCTTTTTGGGAGAGAATGGAGCACGCACCTGACCCATTTTTTCATCCTCTCAGCCATTTCCTTCTGTCAAAGGTGAAAAGCTGCTCTCATTCTCTCCTGTGTTCGTCTCACTTGCTGTGAGGACTTCATTCCTTTATCGCGTGGGAGCTTCCTCCGTGTCAGTCTGAAATCCACTCCTCCACAAAGAAGCCTCACCTGCCAGACTTAAACACCCTGGCACTAGTTTCTCCAGTTTTGTTTCCTCCAAGGTTGTTGCTTTGTTTTTTTGTGTGTGTTTAGTGTCAGCAATGGAACCCATGATGGGGAAGTGCTCTGCCACTGAGCTGCACTCCCGGCCCTTGAAGCGTTTTTATTTTGAGATAGGGTCTAATTAAGTTGCCCAGATTGGCTTTCAGCTCGAGATCCTGCTGCCTCAGCCTCCTGAGTGGCCGGAAGCAATGTTCCTTTGGATTCTTGGAATGCAGTGTCGTAATGCTTATTGGTCAGGACAGAGCAGAGGCACTTTTGCTGATCCAAGGGTAACTGTGAGTGTAGGTGTGAATCTGGTTCAGCCCGCCAGCAATCATCCATACTGTGGGGCCTGTGGCTGCTCCCTCCTACACCTCCTCCATCCTCTGCCTAAGGAGCCTCCAGCCCCCAGACAAACTCGGGCTTCCATGTCGCTCAGCCCGGGGCTTGGGGCCCTGGGCCTGGCTAGCCCGTGGCTGGGCAGATTGTGTTAAAAGGGAGGCAGGTGGCACGGACACCGCTGGGCCCCCACCTCTTTGTACTGCAAACAAGTTTCCCATACTCGGCCAGAAGTGACTGACTGGGCTGCTCCGATTCGGCAGAAGGGGATTTCTTGCGGTGTGGAGTATAAGGTCCCTGTGGGCTATAGGGACACCGGAAGGCAGCGGGGAATTTGCTCACGCTCCCTGCGCAGTACCCCGCGCTCCCATCTCCCCTGAGCACAGGCGGGCAGGCGGACCGGCTCCCCCATTCAGAGCACCCCAGCTCCGCTGCGCCAGGAACTGGCTGTCTTCCCGTCACCTTGGCTACCTGGCAAATTCCTACGGATTCTTTAAAACCCTGTTCTGGCACCTCCTCAATAACACTCTTTCACCACCTTCCAGACACAATTAATCACTTTCTCCTATGCCCATTAAAAAATGTTTTATTATGGAAAAAACAAACCCGGCTTGCAAGAATGGAAACGTATAGCAAACTCTAGTATGTGTCGCTGTGTAAGTCCCCGGAGATGTAAAGACGCGGGTCTCGGTGTTCGCCCCTGGACACCGCTCAGCACGGGTCCGAAGTCAGTGCGTCTAGCATGGTACAGAAACCGGCATCCGGCGCGATGCACCCGTTTTACAGAGGTGCAAACCGAGGCCCGCGTCGTCAGCGCAGTCTGCCCTTTGGATTTTCCGAAAAGCAGCGGGGCGGGCACGGCGCCTACCTCAAGCTCGCACCGGGCGGGACCCCGGGCCCTGCCGACCCCCGCCC